ATAAGAAAATGCAGATATTGGCATTAAAAAAATATTTGCGTGAAGAAAGTCCATGGTCACCTTTATTTTGTACTCAGACTTATCTACAACTCTAGATGCATTAAATCTAATGAAATGCAAATGAAATTTCAAGACAACACACTAAATACTAGAATACACATGAATACTAGAAACCATTTTGACCTTAAGTCACTTTTGCCATTTTTGGTTAACTCTTTTTGTATACTTTTTAGGCTACCAAAACTTAGAAAAGTTCAGAGATGTGGTAATTCTAGGGAGTTCTGTAGAACCATGTTATAGACATCTGAATTTGTCTTTGTACTAGCTATCACTCTTCAGAGAATTCAGCATTCTTCAAAATATAGCGACATTCATTGACACCGAAATGAAGAAGTGTTATGCCTATGAAATAAGTAATCATACTTATGGTTCCAACATATAGCTAAATAATACTTCACAATACTTTTTCTAAATTTCATGTAAGTGTCTTTTAAGTTTAATAATAACAATAATAATAAGAATGCATTATCATTGCTTGTTTGTTTTTAGGTAATGCCACAGGTAACAAGCATCTTCCAATTATTCAAATGGAAGGCATATCAAGTACTTCTGTCTCTCAAACATAATTCTGCTATAGAAATTCTGAATAAAATCAAATATAGTATCTAATTCAGCCTTCCAACTGTTCCTTATGAATATCCATGCTGGCTGGGAATTCTGGAGTTATAGTTAGAAGCACTATCCTGAGGAAAGTTGATATACTTTGACTACAGGCAGTTCTTGCTTAACAATCATTCATTTAGCGACTGTTTGAAGTTACGGCAGTGCTAAAAAGCTTATGACCAGTCCTCGCACTTATGACCATTGCAGTGCTCCCATGATCATATGATTGCGATCTGGGTGCTTGGCAACCAGCTTGCAATTATGGCAGTTGCAGCATCCTGGGGTCATGTGATTGCCATTTGCAATCTTTCCAGCTGGCTTCTAGCAAGCAAAACCAATGGGGAACCGTGTGATTTGCTTAATGACCACCGCAAAAAATGTTGTAAAATCGGGTGCAGTCACATGATGCCTCGCTTAATGACTGCCCTGCTTAATGACAAATTTTCCAGTCCCTATTATGGTTGTTAAGTGAGGACTACCTTTACAACAAACAATTATCTGAAAATAAGGTATTCTGACTTTAGGCTCGATTTAGAAACCCCTTACAACAAATAACAGAACTGCTGCAAATTGAATGGTGCATATTTTGCACCATTGGTTATTAATTATTGCACTTAGACATGATTTATTTAGTGCAATACAGATGGGATTTTAAAAGACAATACTAGATTGAAATTAATTGATAGTAGATTTAAGTAATTTCAGCAATTGCAGAATGTTGTAAATTTCTTTTCAGCTTCACACTGTCATACAGGATACAATACTGAGGTATGACATTAATCTAGATTTAAACCCAATTATCTTCTACTCCTTTTCAGACAATAAAAAGGCAACATTTATTTATTTATTAGATTTATACCCACTTCTCCTCAGTTGTTCAACATAGCACTCCCTCCTCTTATTTTTCTCACAACAACAACTTTGTGAAGTCACCTGGGCTGAGAGAGAACAACTGGCCTAAAGTCAACCAGTAAGTTTCCATGGCTAAGGGTAGACTTGATTCTGAGTCTCCAATATCTTAACCAATTTACAACAATGGCTTACTATAACATCTTGTTTGTGAAGTATTAAACCAATATAAAATTCTGATTAAATCTCTGGATCATCTAAACCACACCTTGCTAACTTAACTTGGGTCTCAACCTGCCAATATTGAACAGCCAATCCTAGTGGTAGAATTTTTGCATGTACACAATCTGTACTTTAGGGTTAGCATCTTTAGTTAAAAGGAAAAGCTTTCATGAGATGGGAAAGAACTGCTGAAGAACTACTCTGGCTCAAAATAGACGTGTCGGTCAAGATTAGTGAGCAATATACTATACTATAATATATTTTATTTATAAAAAACAAACTAGAACATGAAACTAGCTTGCACATTCATGAGGAAAACATCCACTAAGAAGTCTTTAGTTCACCATGAAGGATTTTCCTCTGCACAATTTGCATGACAATCCATGATTTCTGTAACGCAACTCAGTAAGTTGAACCAACAGTGACAAATCGCCAGTCTTTTTAGCATTTTACATTTTACAACCAGAAGAGCAATATCAACAAAGTCAGTGCTACTTTTAATGTTTCTCCAAGATATTCAACTGAAACAGATTACATTATACTGAAATATAAATCATAACAGTAATGAAATATGGTCAAACTCTGTGCAGTTTACTGCCAGGTCCCCAAGTTCAGATAAGTTAGTTAGTTAGTTATTACATTTATACAGCTGCCCATCTCACACAAAGCAACTCTGGGTGCCATACAACAATTAAAATAAAAAGTGAATAAAAACAGGCATTATAACAGATAAAAAAGTTATTATTAAAATAAAAACATTATCACATATTTTCAGGAGGGAGAACATTCCACAAGGAGGGAGCCACAGCAGAGAAGGCCCATCTCCTGGGACCCACCAAATGCAAGTCCTTGGCCAATGGAACTCATTGCATACCTTCCCTGCCGGATCGAATGGGATGGGCTGATGTGATCGGGGAGAGGTGGTCCCTCAGATTACCTGGCCCTATGCCATGAAGGGTTTTAAAGGTCAAAACCAGCACTTTGAATTGGACCCAGAAGCAAACTGGCAGCAATTTGCGAAGCAGAGGTGTAATATGTGCTCTTCTAGGAGCACATATAACTGCCCATACTGCCACATTCTGCACCAGTTGAAGCTTCTGGATACTCTTCAAGGTAGAATGCATTACTGGAGGTGACTAGGGCATGAGTGGCTGTGAGCAGAGCCTCCCGATCCAGAAAGGGGTGCATTTGGCACACAACATGGAGTTGTGCAAAGGCCCTCCTGGCCACAACTGCCACATGCTCTTTGAGCAGGAGTTGTGAGTCCAGGAGGACCCCCAGATTGTGCACAGGGTCTGTCTGGGGCAGTGCAACCCCATTCAGTACCAAAGATGGCATAGCTGTAGCACCAGAAGGCCCCAGAACCCTCAGCTGCTCAGTCTTGCCAGGGTTCAGCTGAAGCCTGTTGTTCCCCATCCAGACTCTCACAGCCTCCAGACACT